GTCCGCCATAATGGATCCGTTATATTGAATTTTGATTTCAGATTTCCATTCAGTAACGTAAAAAACCGATATATTAAAAAGATCGAACAGTTAGGAGATACAGTTTTGCAAGGCGTTTCATGCGTAGTGCCAAACGAGCGCGGTAATTTAGGAGTTATTTACGTCCCAAATATTTATGTAATAAAAAAGAAAAAAAATACGTGTTCCCTAATTAACTTTCCTCTTCAAGTTTTAATAGATTTTATTTCGATCAGATCAAAACTGATTTTTTTGCAGCAAAAAATTGGTCGCTTTAGGGTATTTCACCCCCTAATTTTCACTCCCCTTCTAACATACCTAGGCCAATTTTTGTCTTCTATCGAAAGATACTTTCATACCAAAAATCATCAAGATTGCTTCACTGATCTCGAAAATATCACAATTTTTCCATTTTACCCTCACACTTTGGGGGGTTGTTTCATACCCTAAATATGTTTTACCGCAGATAAAAAAAAATACGTGTCCCCTAATTTTCAATGTACTATAACATATCCAAATTTCATCAAAATCGGAGAGTGACACTTGGGTAGGTTTACTTGTAAGAATTTGTACAATTTGTATTTTAAATTATTTATATAAAATTATTAACCAATCCCGATTTTGCTTTCGTTTATTCAATGTTAGTTTATCAATTAACAACTTATGTATGATATTTTATTTATATATGTATGATATATATATGTATTTTTAATACTGGAGCTGTATACATGTATACATATATATATATATATATATATATATATATAAATAGATAATTCAATAATAGATCTTTCAGTTAAGCTTCGTCTGTGAGCATCATTTTCTTTTCCATTCTTTTTGTATGTATAATAATAAATATAAATGAAATACATATAATGATTTTTATTGTCGAAATCTATTGATTCAAAAGTTATGTTATTAAAGTTTTGTAGTTTTAGAGTACTGTATAGTATACTTCAATTTGGAAATAAGGTTAATTTTATTATTTAATAAAACTCGTTTTGTGTTCGGATTGCGTCTATTAAAAATGTCTGTAGGTCAATATTATTTCGCCATAATCGCTATAAATATGCACAGAATCAAAGTGGAAATTCATTGTCAGGAATACATCTCTTTATCCTGTCTTCTACAGGATGCCAATACGATTCTGTTTTATGAATATGCATACAGTCAATAATGTTTATGAAATTTCATTTAGTTAAAATTGATTTTCTCCGTAATATAATTCAAGTGCAAGATAAATTACACTTGTCTACAATCTGTCTATTATGATTAACATTTTTATGTGTAATAACTTCCTGCC